TGCGTGGAACAATTGAGAATGTATTATTTAGTTTTTTAAAGTTTCTGCCTTTGCCGTGGTTTGGCCGTAAGAAATAATTATGTCACTGGAGCAAAAAAAAAAAAAAAAACCAAGGAGGAGCCATCTATATGCTATGTACTAAAAAAAAAAGTCAAATTTCCTACCCACCCCACTGTTGCACTCACTTTTTTTGACAACTCCCATTTTATGTGTAAATAAAATGTGTCATGGATTATCACCGCTGGCTGCCCAGTGGTCTCCAGAATACACACTGCATTGTCCTGGATGCCTCAAGAATGGGACAAAGGGCAATAGGCGCCAAAAATCGTTTCAGGTTTTCTATACGAGTTGATGCTGCTTCCTCAGTGGTGTTTCCATAATTTTAATTCCACTTTTAATCCAGTCTGTCATCTAGCGGCCATAAGGGTAATAAAAGTAACCCACTTTTTTTGCAGTTACTAGATGGCGCTTAGCGACCTACATACACGTTTTATTTTATCCAACCCTTTATTTCATTTTGTTTATTTATTTGCTATTTCGAAGTCTACTTGTTATAACAGGGAGCCTGGTGAAAACCTGTATTTGGCATAGGCACCAGGAAACTAACATTTTAGAAGCACCGACAAAATGACATAGCCCAACAAAATATACTTCACATGCATGCTGAACATATGGTGGACTATATTATACTATATATAACAGCAATACTGCTACTACTTAGTAATATCTGAGTTTTTTTCTAGCAAGTTCATTTGTGAAAACACTTGGCACCATTCAGACGATAATTCCTACAAAACATTGCATGATTTTTGTTTTGCAGCATTGAAGATATAAATATGCTATTTTTAGACTTTCAGGGCAAACCTATATACAATTATAGATGGTTCCCAAACAATCGTACTGGTATGTTTTTTTATCCATTTACTACTGGATGTAGAATGCAAGTTGAATGGACGATGTCACAGAAATATAATAATCTGTGATTCACAGTAGGCAGTAGGTTGACATGCCTGGGCTATAACTATATAGTATATTATATTTAGTTAGCCATATTACTAACCATCCATCCCTGTGGCGCTACAGCCCATGTAGGGCTTTGGCCTGCTTCACTACTTCCTTCCACTCAGACCTAACTAATGCCTTTCTTTTCCATGCTTGGACTTTCAGCTCTTGTAGATCTTTTTCCACATCATCCATCCATCTAAGCCTAGGTCTGCCTTTGAGCCTTTTTCCTCTGGGGTATTGGTGATGCACCCTCTTCGTTCCTCTGTCATTTGGCATTCTCTTTAAGGGTCCTGCCCAGCGTAGCCTGCCTCTTTTTATTTCAGTTACTATCGTGGGACCCTGATAGACTGTACAATTCATGGTTGGGTCGTATTCTCCATCCATATTCATCCTTTGTTGGTCCATATATTTTCCTGAGAATGTTCCTCTCCCATGTGTTTAATAGGTTTTCTGCAGTTTTTGATAGGGTCCAAGTTTCACTTGCATATGTTACGATTGGTCTGATTACTGTTTTATAAATAGTTTTCTTTGTTTCTCTTGTAATGTTTTTACTTATGAGTATTTTCTGACTACTGAAGTATGCCCTGTTTCCGTCTGATATTCTTTCTTTTATTTCTGTTAGTAATTCATTTCCTTCATTTTATAAAGATCCAAGGCATTTGAATTGATTTACTAAAGTCTGGTTTCTAATTTTAATTGCTTCATCTGTTTGTTCTTTTCTTATCATGGTCATGTATTTAGTTTTTGGTTGTTAACTTCCAGCCCTGCGTGTAGTGATGCGTCTTCTAATTCAATAAAGGATTTTCATATGTCTTGAATTTGAATAGTTTAACCTAGCAGTATCCTGTTATCATTCCTCGAGTGTCAATGTGTATGTTTCTCATAACTCTTAGGCCTCGTCTAATCTGAAAATCACAGGAATATTCTCCTTGAACCTTGATTTTGCTTTTTGAGTTGTCTAGTGTTGCATGTATTAGTCTTGTCAGTTTGTTGGGTATGCCAAACTCCTACAGAGTCTCATATAGATATTTTCTTTTGATGCTGTCATAGGCCATTTTATAGCCCACATAGAGTAGATGTATTGATATATTCAAAGCATTTCTCTAATAGGCATCTGATGGTGAAAATCTGATCAGTCGATCTGTTAGCCCTGAATCCACTTTGGTAATCACCTAGTATTACTTTAGTGTAAGGTTGTAGTCTTTTGGCAATAAGCTTTGTCAGTATTTTGATTGTAACCTTTAATAGGGAGATTTCTCTATAGTCTATAGTTTGTGCATTAAAGATTGGAGCCTTTCTTGTGTATTGGGGGTTATTAATGCGGTTTCTCATTCTGTTGGAATTTTCTCTTCTTGCCAAATTTTAGTTATAAGTTTATGCATCAGAGTGTGTAGTTCTTTTCCTCCATATTTAATCAGTTCAGGTGTGATGAGGTCTTGTCCAGGGGCTTTGTGATTTTTCATATAATTAATTACCTTTTTAGTTTCTTCAGGAGTTGGGCATTGTATAAAAGGGTCTGGTCCTCCTTGTGGAGGTTGATAATCTTCTTCATAATTAATTAATAACATATTGTCCTATTTTTCAGTAAATATCTATTATCTCACATGCTTCAATCAGAATCAATCTGTTTTATTCTAATAAAACGCTGGCAATTGTCAACTTATATAGCAAAACCAGAATTGAAAGAACTGTTAATTTTAAGTAATTTTTCTAATTTTAAAACCTGTAATAAAACTCGTAGTCTAAGGCCTCTAACTCTATGTAGTCAAAGTGTAAGTAGATGTCACAGATGAGATGGTGGTGTGAGGTATGGCCTGTACTTAAAGTCGCATACCAAGTAGCCGAGTGGTCTAAACTGAGCAAATCTCAAGTTGGTGGTCTGAAGTTTAATCCCGACCAAAGCTTGTTAATCTTAGATGGCAACTCATCTAAGAGAAGGAAACTCTGATGAATTCAAACCCGGTTTGAAATCCTCGTAGGCGGATAACATTGGTACATCCCTACAACTCCTGCGACGCCACTGGTTCCAAGCTGTATCATCCACATGATGTTCCCTTGGGTTTTCTAGCGGCATGGAGAGAGACGATTTGCTGATGGGAACAAGTTTATAATCCTAGAAGAATAATCCCAGGCCTTGTGGATTTTGTACTGTGAAGTCTTCACCATCGTCACGTTGTGACAGGCAGATGCAAGTAAAAAAAAATTAAAATATGGGGCTGCTCCTCTCAGGGATAGTTCAGTAATCCAGACGAATACAACAAAGACAACACAAACCTCAGTAACAATTATAAACAAAAGAATATATTGATAGATCTAATATGGTCTAGTAATGTCTTTCCCAACTCAGTTGCAACTGTTAACATCTATTAATCTCCAACGCTTACAACCCCCAAAACATTACCCAACTTCCCCCGGAAATTGCACCATCATTAAATACATATGGTGCCACATATGGGGGAAGTTCTGAACAAAACACATTATAAATTACATGAAGAAGTAAAAGTAATGGAGCACCCTTGTTAAACCCAACCCCTGTGATTTGTGACAGTAGTAATGTTAGGTAAGCTAAGCATGGAATAAAACATAAGATAAGATGATAAAGATGTAAGTGTAACTAAGATTCAACACAAGTAATGTTATGTAGCCTAAAAGGACCAAACAGTTTTGTGCCATTTCTATCACGTCTGTCAGTTCAGTCAATCATTAATCAGGCAGGCCCAGGCTGCTACAGCCCCAACTTAATTTTAATAAAAATTATAGAAGTTTATTTAGAAAAGTTGTGGGCGTGGCTTGAAGACTAATTTGAAAACTAAGTCTATTGACGTACTACAAAATAAATTAGATTAACATATAGTTTGAGGGTGAAGTATATAAGCCATTGACTATTGAAATTAATAAAGTTTCGGAGGCGCTAAGCTAAATGATGGATTCAATAACATGATGTGTATGAGAACTCCAGTATGGACTATGTTTGGGAAGTCCATATGAAACGTTTCGAATCATACAGATAAACAACCAGAAAATAGTTATTGCAATACTTAAAATGGATGTAGTTTCAAAGGATACTTTACGTGTCTCTGTTGTATTTGATCCGGGGGTGATATATTCTGGTGTCTTGATGTCATTTCATAAATTTCTTTAGAATTAGTCCTCAACTAGGACGAATTTAATTGTTTATTTTCGAAGACATTCTCCTGTGATATAGAAAAATAATCTCGATTAATGAAAGAAAAGTAACATTAAAACATATTTACATTAAAAATAAGATTAAAACAGATTTACAAAAGGACAGATGCAATAAGATTTCGAAGTTCGTTTTCAATATGGCCATTACACTATACCTGATGGAGATACTTCGGTAATATTCGGTAAAGTACTTTACTTCCGGGTCAATCAGGCGTTCTTTGCACATCAAAAACAAAAATAATTGCAACAAAAAACACATTTATAACCTCTTAAAAAACAAAATACATTTTATTTCTTTTTCATAAATTATATCAATAGCATCTTTTTATTTAAATAATAACTGGTTTAAGGAATGTTCTCTAAACAATTTCTTTTATGACCCCTAAACTTTCTGCGAACTACAGTTAACGCGAAATTTAACGAACAATGCATATGCCAGTTTGCAGTATTTTATAAAGACATTTCATTAGAACGTTAAAAACGTTGTTTTTTTTTTGTTTTTGTTCGTGATGCAATAAGTTACAGTACAAGATGTTGTAACGAATCTTTAGACTTTAGGGCAAATTCTCATTCGAATTAGTGTTTTTTTTATTTTTTTATTTAAATTCAACGATTTTCAAATTAAAACCTGAATGTATTGATTACTCATCTTGGAACGTACACGTTTTCAACGAGCTATAATCAATATCCATTAATAATAAGTTATATTATTTTATACTTTGGGGCATATTGACTTAATTTCATTAATATGTAATAGTTATTACGATTTTAGGTCGGTAAACTGACAAATTGAACCAGCGCCTGGTTAACATAATCTTGCGCGAAGAAGACCAATTATGTGAAAATTAGGGCAACAAAGTGATATATTATCAGTAATAAAGTTAAGAATAATATTGTTGTAAAAAAATGTTGATGAAGATGAAATTATCAACTTCATCATATGGCTGAGGAGATCAGGTAAATAACTAATCTTTCAGTCGTCAATATGAAAGAAGAATGGAATAAAACAAATAAAATATAATAAAAAGGTAAGTTATACTTATACTTATACTACTTACTAACTTACTACTTTTTAATAAGTAATTGAGTAATAAGTTATAATTATAAGACTAATCACTGGATCTAATAATTATATAATAATAAAACTGTAAACTAAATTTACAATTTACACAATTCAATAAGTACTACTAAGACTACTACTACTAACTAATACTAATATTATTACTATATTAATTAGTGAAAGTGAAGGCATTATTCATCATTTATCATTTATAGTATATCATTTATAAATATAGTAATAGTAATATAGTATAGTATATATTATATAGTCTATATATAAGATTTGCTACCACAATTTATTTCATATAAATTAATTTTAATTATAATTAAAGTATATTATAGCCTATCCTAATCTCCTATTATTACTTATTCACGTATACTATTATGCCGTTATTATAATATAATAATATATTTATAACCATGACCATACATATTTGAATTTGAATCATATTGATAATCCTCATACTATTTATAATTTATTACATTTTAATTATTTTTCTAACAGTTAACAGAGATATAAATATAGTTATATAAGTTATATAGTATAGTATAAGTATAGGCATGCAGGAAGGGGTACCACTATCATAGTCACTATCATTCACTATGACTATGTCAATGTCTTTTTCCTCAGCAATTCTTTGATGAAATTCTGTTATTAATATCACATTCTATTGCAACTAATTTTTTAGCATCATCAATGGCTATTTGGCTTGGGGGAAAAAAAAAGCACCAAATTTTGGCAAAGCTTTCATTTTTAAATTTATCAGCAATTTCAGGATGCTACAAAACTCGCCGATCAATTGATAAAATACAGCCATAATTGCTATGAATAATTGAAGTTTTTAATATTACCAGATCAAGCTTTGTTTCAAGGGCAATATCAGCCATCTCATGTTATACTTTTTGCAAAACATACTGATACTGAACTAGAAGAGAAGTGTGAGGGTGAGAGTGATGTCATATGATTATTTGCACACCCACAAAAGTGCAGACTTTTGATTTTGTTGTCATACTGATATGCATTTTTCAAAACACATTGAATGCAATATAGCAAAATCAAAGTCCTCTATCTGATGAAAATATATTATTAGTCACCAAATGAGTGTTCCCATATATTCTTTAGTGTTTATGGAGAAATACAAAACTGATTATCAGTTAGCCAAGAATTTCAGGGATATTATTTTTAAACCTATTATAAAATATAATTTGATATATTAATAACAAGAAGAAAGAAGGTCTTGAACTTTTGAAATGTAGGCACAGACCAGGGGTGGCCAACCCAAAGGGCTTAACAGGACACTTTGATCCTAGATGAATTTTTTGCAGGCCACATAATATTACATTTAATAAATAAAATAAATATCAGATTAATGCTGTATATATTTATTTATCAATTAATAATGTACACAATGAAATGCAAAAATTAAAAAACAAAATGAAACTAAACTAATGTGATATTTGTAATATTTTCTCTCACTTTAAATTTGAAAATATTTTTCTATGAAAATTGAATAAAGATAGAATTTTTTAGATATTTATAACCAACATCCAGTGAACGAAAAAATAGTGTTGCCACATGTTTGTCATGCCTCCCATAGACTATTATTTTATTGAAAAGAAAGAAAGTATATTAATTACAATATACCCAATTAAATTTAAAAGAAGTGCAAATAATATAACTATGAATTTTAAATAAACCTAATTCCGTTTTATTGAATTTATGATATTACCTTTAAGGATTTTTCAATTTTAAGAAATTGAATATGTGAAAGTTGATAGGTAGATATTTTGACAGAAATTTAAGTATTACAAAAGACACACCACTGTAAAGGGCTATCTGTAAAGCTTTCCAAAAACACCTAGACATCTTTATACTTTCATTATTAAAATTAGAAATATCAATGTTTTTGTGAATTCTATGAGCATCGTATAAACCTTTGTCTTAATGTCTTATATCCAAATTGTTCAATAAAATGTTAATAAATAGTATTTTCAGGCCCAACCCTAAGTAAAAGTAACTTATCATTACATTTGAAATTAATTATTACATAGAATGAACTTAAAACAACTTAAAAGGAACTTAAAATTAAAGACTGAATTTTGCAAATCTAATATTTCTAAAGCTTGATTGGCACACATTAGGTGAAGAATGAAATTATAGGCCTAAAATATAATTGATTATACATAGATAATATGAGCCTAATGCCTAAAGCTATTATTTATCTTGTAAGTTAAGTGGCATTTAGTCACTGTAAGTTTAAGGAGCAGGTCATTCCTCCATTACAAGATTATAATTTGGACTGTTAAAAATTATTGTTCCTTGTCACAGATCAGTCCTCTATCCATATAACCATTATCCTGTATGTAGATCTGATTGTCTAGTAGTTTATCTGAAATCACAAATATATTTAAGATTTTTTCCCTTTATGTGATGCAATTTTCATTTAACTTGATTGTCCGTTGCATCCTAATTACAACTTTTGTTCTTGTCAGGGCTCTCAAAATGAAGTCTTATTAAATTCTCACAATACTTTGGAGAAAATGGACAGTTTATACAACTTATTACCACCAGAAGGTGGTAAATTAACAAATCAGTCAAATATCACCTCCTGCCCTGATGGAATCCAATGGATTTATGCAGTGATGGGTGATTGTTGCATTACAGTGAGAGAGCAGATATCTGCATACCTTGGAATAGCCTCTATTTTTCTATGGGGTTTTGTTGGTATCCCGTAAGTAAACATCTAATTATTTGAATGCATAAATTGTGAAAGTAATATTAAGTCTATTATACAAAATTATATTGGTTGTTTGTACTCTCTGAACAAATAAGCCAACCAATTTTTTCAAATTTTACAGGAGAAATTGATTCATGCACTTTCACTGTTAAAGAAACATTTTGGGCTCTATACACTTATGTCCGTTGTACCTGATTAGAGTTTTTTCCTTTTGTTGAAAGTTCAACTTAGCAGCAGTAGCTTACTTACGCAAATAAAAACTATAACTTTTATTTTCAATCCTTTGTTCACCTCCCTATAATGTGCCTATAATTTCATATAGGATGTATTAGCTGTGAGTTTTGAATGAATGTACCAGTGTTTTTATTAATGTTATACTTACATGGGATGGCTCTTTCACTTAGTATTAATCAATGTCGAGTACCTGTATGGGATTTCATTAATAATTGTTGTGACTGGATATTTTAAAATATTTGCAGTTTGTTTTTTGAGATTAATTAGCTAGTAAAATTCTTCCCATGCTTGACTTGGTGACATATTTTTATGCTTATTATGACATATTGTCTAGTCTGTTTTGTGACATACATTTTAGTCGTGCCTCAGTCGTGAAAAGAAATTTGTGGAAGAAGGTTGTGTTTTATTTCTCTCTGATAGCGAGCTGCGCTATACATAATAATATGGAATTAATAGTCCGTGAATTTACATTATATATATTGAAGTTGCATTTATTATGAAAAAGGACTTGAGTTGATTCAGTGTCAGAAAGACGTATTACAACATGTAAAATAACTTTAAAATTATTCAATCTAGCATAAACAGGAGTGCGACATGGGGCTCCTTGAAAAATTGGAATCGACTTATAACAAATTTAAATGTGTAAAGGCCTGAATTTTGAATATTAAAAAAAAATGTGGAATTTTATGTTAAGAGATTTACATTGATGATCAATGTGTTTATTCTAGCTGACTTGTACTTAGTACTGACAATGAGAAAATAAAATTTTTTGGGGTCTAAAAATGGGGTCTCCAGTTTATCTGACCCGCCGACGGTACTTGAATTTGTTTGATAAAATGTATGTTTACCCACAGAGAAGGAAAACTTGTTGAATTTTACCGCTGCTAACCTAATGTTGAGTTTCTGAAAATGAAGAACTTCTCCGCTGGTATGGCATCAGTGATTGGAACAACTTATGTCTGTGAGCAAACATTTTCAAAAATGAAGTATGTGAATTCAACACATCGAACGAGAGTGAATTATAAACATTTGAAAACAATTCTGATTTGATGCAGCAATTCGAATCCAAATATTGATGGAATCTTGAAAGCCAAATGTCAGTTTCATAAATCTCACTAACTTTTTTGCTGCTTAGTTTGGGATATTCGAATATAAGTGCACTATGTCTGATTTAACTCTCTGTTTGCTAGCTTCACCTTCTATGATAACTTTTTTAGAAAATAAATATGTTGGTTGTCTTTGTTTTTTGTACATTGCACGCCACATTGCTTTCATTCTGGCTTGAAAGTATTGTACAGAATGATTATCCGGCCCGCGCTCATCATTTTTTCCGTTATCCGGCCCGCTGTCAAAAAATTTTGGAGACCCCTGGTCTAAAATATTATTTTATACTTTAAGACTTAACAGGCATTTTTAAGTTTCACAGATTGTTTCTAATCATTTGTAATTTTTTTAAAAACTTTCTACAAGTTGATGAGAGGGCTTAAATATTGTCTACATTTGTCTTACCTATTTAGTACATCTGTTTATTCTTAAAGTAGGTAATGTTCACATATTTTACAAATTTGAACTCATTGCCCAATCATGTATAAATGTTTATTCTTTGTTCTTCTCCATAGTCAAATGTGCAAAAACATTTGCCATATTGCAGGAATGGTTGGACTTAGTGTATTTTTGATTCTTCAGTGGGTTGGTGGTGACCTTGCAAACTTAATTGGGTGTATTCTTACAAGACAGAACAACTTTCAAGTAAGTTTATGTCTTAAAAAAAGTCTACGTTACTTAAACCTAAATGTCCAGGCAAAGTGTACTGCTGATAAGTTCTCATGCTTATTATTTATCTCTATGTATAAACAATATTAACAAGCATTGGTGTTTTGCATGTCAATGATGCATTACATGTGATAAAGAACTATTAAAAGAAATCTGATTTAAAAGTTAGTTTTATTTAGTGAGTGTTTGGGGTTCACATGAAATTTAGTGTGACGGGATGATGATGACAGCTGGTTATTGAACCAATGGCAATTTAATTTTTCTAAGTTTTACACTTTCCCCAAAAAATACCCTCTCGCTGGCTGATTTAGCTCATTCTATATTGTGTCGTAACGGGATAACCCAGGACAGATTCAAACCTATTTCTGTTTTGTGATGTTATGAGCCTGTAAGGCCATCTCATTACTTTTCTGTTTGTCTTGCAATTCCCTTTTAAGTAAAATATTACAAAAAAATATTTATATTCTACTCAGCTTTTTTCATAATTTTACATTATTTACCCTGAATGATTTTATCAAAATTGAAAGTAATTGACTGGATTATTTGATAATTAATATTAATTTATTTCAGATTATTCTTGCTGTATATTTCATAGTAATGGACATATTTTTGTTAGTTCAATACATGCATTATTTATGCTGGAAGCACAGGAAAAGGCTAAGAGAATCTGAAGGTAATTAAACTCAACACAATTTTAAGGGATACTCTACTTATTAAAATGCATATTGTGGCCGTTTTGACTGAAGTTAAATATTTTAAAACGTTGTACAATAAATAACTTTGCATAAATCAGTGGCCTATTACAATTTTTTGTTCATGTTATTAAGAGTTCAAAAAATCCTTAAAGAACTTATTTAAATGGATTTCAAAAATAAAATTTATAAAAAGCTAAATCAATTTCATAAAAAAATTATTATTTAATGAAATTATGGGAACATGAGCAACTTATTAGAACAGTATCAATAAAAAAATAAAAACAATATTCTGCATTAATGATAGTGATAGTTTTTTTTTAAGGTTAAAATCATTGAAATGTTTCTGGTTATTTGAAATAACAAAGTTTTTACTTGCAGGAAATATTCAGCCGTCCCCGAAGGTGCTACTGTGTTTGATGGGCCTCTTTGTCTTTACAACCACTCTGTGGAACCAAACTTTTGCTGCTTTATCAAAGGAGATCACAGGTTTGCATGATGACTACTTAGTAGCTGGGCACACATCTCGCTCTTTACTTTTTGCATCTTCTGATCCAGCAGAATTTGTCGGAGATAAGCCAATTTTTTGGAATGTGAGTTACTTTTTTGATTTTTGGTTAAAATATCACCTCAAATGTTTCTGAATTATAAGATAATTAAATAAATATGCATCTATATTATCTATATCTATATTGAAAAAGGTTATGTGCAATTTAAATCACACTTGATTGCAATCTTGTAGCTCCAGTGAATCTTAATTAATTTGTGCATTAATATATATATATATATATTCAATTATTTAAATTGACTTCTCCAGGATACAAGGAATGTAATAGGCTATTGTATAGGTATCATCTCTGCAATATTCTACTCAGGGTCACGTGTCTCTCAAATTTACAAAAATGTGAGTGTCCTAATTGCTATCATTTTGTAAATTTAGAGTTGTTAACCTAAAAACTTTTGCTAAAACCTACAAGTCTTCAGAAAAGTTTTGATTGATTCTGTGAAAGATATTTGTTAAATTAACTTCTAAGTAATAATCATAAATTTGACACATAAAGGCCTACACTGGCATACATTGCATTAGGTCTTTTGATTGTTTCTGTGTGAACGATTTATTTAAAACTAACTAAGTAATAATCATAAATTGGACACATAATGACCAAATCTGGCATAAATTGCATTAGTACATGAGTGGGTGCAAAATGTTTATATCTACTCTTTCTTTTAATTTTCACTATTGAATGTAACAATAAAAAATGAAAAAAAGTAATAGTATGATATTGACATAACACATAGCTTTACACTTTATACAATTGAATAAAGAGACTTGTACTTTGTCTTGAAAACTAAATTTGGTAATGAATGTTCTTCATGTTGATTGGCAAACTCTCTGAGAGACTTTCTAATATTCTTCAGGTAAGAGCGCAATCAACAGAAGGCCTAGCATTCTTAACTTTTACAGTGGCTGTGTTTGGCAATTTGACCTATGGGGGTCAGATTATCATTCTGGACTTCAGTGGGGACTACGTGCTAGAGAAGTTGCCTTGGCTTCTGGGAAGTTTTGGGGTAGTCCTGCTTGACTGCTGTGTATCCTTTTTTTCTAAAGACTTTGTATTCAGATACCTTAATGGTATGCCTTTAACCTCTTAACAACAAACCCCACCCCCCTCCCTTTTTTTTTTACCCACACTCACAATTGTTGTCATGTCGGCATCACAATAACCCTTTTTGAATATATTCATGATACCATTTCATATTGTTTTTTGTTTTTAAGGGAGAGTTTTAAAAATTTTAATTATACTTAACATTGAGCCAACCTAATCCCACCCATTTAGGCAGCTTTTAGTTTGGATTAAAACTCTCCTAAAGATTGCTGAACATTTTAGACATTAAAATATTGCATCACCCTCACACAATTTAGCTTCCGTTGTTATAGAATAGTGTCAGACTCCTTAGATCCAAAAATTTTACTATAATTTCTGTTAAGGCTTGAATACATTCTGTTGACTTCATCTAGTAAAATATCTCAAAATACATTTTTTAAAGGAATGAAAAATATTTTAATTATACTCATTATTATTCAACTTTACTATTAAGAATAATTCAATCACTATGAATAATTTACAAATGTACTATGATTCTATTCAATATAGGTTGACTTATTAAACACTCTAAAGAAATCACACAACTTTACTAAAACTATCACTCCCTTGCTAGATGCTCAAAAATACGCTACCACACAAAACTCTAACAATAATATGATGTCATAAACAATGTTCCCTTTAAGCTGCGCGGCTGTGCAGCTATCTCACAGACGAAGGAAATTTCCATGTAATTGAGTGTTTATGTTTGTGGGCTGTAAAATTTTGCACACACAAAAATTGATGCTGTAAAAATTTGCACACAACTGTATGATTTTGCACATGAACCAACAAACCTTAGAGGGAACATTGGTCATGAGTGCACCAAAACGCCAATCACACTTATCAACAAAGGTTCTAAATACTTGACGCAGTAACACAGTTGAAACCAGGACATACAATATTCTCATGATCAGGGGAGCTCATACTTGACACTGAGCAATAACAAAATAACTCCTTAATAAATGATGCAGATACTGTTTCAGTTTATGTACTACAAGCAAAGAGATGAGATCAAGACTGAAGAGCACCAGTCTCTTCTAACTGGGGAGTACATTATCAACGCAGATGATAACTCTCAAGATGAGCAGGGAGAAGAAAATCCTTGCATCAATTGAATTATCTTCTACTATTATTTTTTTTCTTCTCTCTTTCTGACATCTTATGAATCTGGTCTGTTTACATGTCAGTCTAAATTAGTCATCTACTTTTTAAAAAAAGAAAACGAAAATTATTAAGTACATCAATTTATGTTTATAGCATTCTGATATTTAATTTCATCTATAAAGATTTAAATTATCAGATTGTGTGAAACTATATGGCTTTGGCATTTGCTATTTATAATGGAAATAATTTACCCTCATCAGTGGTAAGAAAATGCTGGATGAATCTCTTTTTTTCTTATTGCCTTAAAATTGTATTTATAAAGTACCTTCTTTGTCAATGTATTTCAGTTATGATAATAATCCAAATAACTAGTTGTATTAACCCATCAAAAAGGAGTTTTTATAAATAGAGTAAATCATTTTAAAGTATGCAATGCAGTGGGTTTCCAAAGGTTGTCTCTTGTGCTTGTACTTGTTGGTTCCAGATCTATAATAAGATGGGATTTATGTTATTTTTAAAAAATTGAATTTGACTTTATAATATATATTTCAGTTTTAAAAAAACAACAATCTTAGAAGCTGTTTTAAGACTAAGTGTAATGTCTGATTTGTTTACCTTTATTTATGATATTCCATTTTTTTATATTAATACTCAGTAAACCCAGGGTGCACTGTTAATTTATTCTATTATGTTTACACTATTGTTTCATAAACTATATGCAAGAATTATGAATCATGGAAGCAGCGTCTTGCCAGGGAAGAGCGAAACCTTAAAATGCCGCCCCTCAATATGTAGTCGAAAGATTATTTTGGCACTCCTTGTCTTAATGAAGATTTATAGTTTAATTCATAATTACGATAGTATCTAAAGTGGATTTGGCATTAACAGCCCCTCCCACCCCCCAACCACAAGCAAAAATTAATTGATGTGTTAAGCCTCAGACCATTTAATGAAAATAATGCTACATTTATAGCTTTATTCACTGTGCCCCTCTCATTTCAAAACGAGGAATACTAGTCATTTTACCATTTCCTTTACATTACATTGATTTGAAAGTTTGGGTTTTTCTTACCATGACCTGTATATTGTTTTTGTATAGAACTCATTTTTAAATCTGCACTACATATGATAAAGCAATTGATTTAATTTATTGAAATATCAGATTTGATGGTGAGCACGGTCATCTTTATTGCTACGTATGTGTGGCTAATGTGAGGATCATTTCCCTGTCACATTCTCTCTGCATATCCTAGGGCATGCCCCCCTCCCCCATATTGATAATGCCTCACATATAATTATAATTTTATCCAGTTTGTATAACCTTTTATTACCTTGTGAAAACCCCATTTTATATTGAAATATATATTATTTTACAATTTTATTTTGTTTTATATTGTTGTTAAGACAAAATTTTGATGAAAAAAATGGAGTTGTTTACATAGATATTGCTGTAGGTAGAAATATTAACATTATTTTTTTAACTTTGTGTACACCTTAAAAGTCTTTTAGAAGAGAAATTAGGATTCAAAAGCTTAAAAATATGGTGGTTTTAAAAATTATAAACATTTCATTAGATTCCTGATTAATATATTCTTTTGAAGATAAGTGACTTGACTGTTTTGAAATGTTCAACAATTTTTATGAGATGTCATTCATTAATGTCTCTTCCAGCTAACAAAATGGAAAAAAAATTTCTATCCCTAATAGTTTCGGGGAGTTTTCCTGTGATAAGTGCATTTTAGATGAAAAGTCTAACAATATATATATATTATAATGTATAACTAATCCATGTTTATAAATACATATTATGTATACTGAATAAGTGACATTTACAATTAACTATAATTTGTGGTATTCATTTCTAAGGGTTTTAAACGGTAACCAGTTTTGAAACTAATAACCGGTTGTAGATCCTCACGATCCAGTTGACAAATTATTTTTATTATGATATTAATAAAATAAAAATTGATTCAGTAAAATAATAAACCAATAATCAATGCATTAAATGTATTTTTATTTAAAAAATTAAATAGTTTTTTTTTAAAGTAATTCAAAAAATTGGTAGGTTACTGGCTAATGCTTTGTGTATATTTGACCATACTGCTCTCTGTATCTATCAGTTGACCAGTGTTAATAAACCGGTTGTGACTGGATTTTAAAAAAATTAACAACCCTTGGTTAATTTTGTCTTAAATTTGCAGGGATAATTCTTTCCCTCAGACCCCCACTGTAAATTATGCACTTTTACTGAAATGTTATGTTTTAATCCTTATTAATTATAAGAATTGCAAAAATTATAAAATGACAAAAAATAAAATATTTACAGTGCATGGGTGTTGAATCTCATAAATGCAAAGAACAAGGGAAATTTTAATTATTTGTGTATGTATGTTTCTTGGTAAGTAAGATTTCCTGTGTTTAGTTTTTTAGTTCATAATCAATACTTTATTGTTGGAACATACTTAAAATAAGGTTACGCTTTTTTTCTTTTTTGGAGACACTCTTTTTACTAATAATATTAGGAGCTGTATAACTTTTAACAAATTAATTTAATTTTATGAAAATTCCTCCATTTCTTTATAAAAAAAATTTATATCTGGATCAAGCATATTTTACTGTTTTCCAATGTTTTATTTTATTCCAATCTAGTAGTAGAAATCTCAGGTGTCTTAATGTAAACCTTGTGTTGCCTAATTGAGAACAATTTGTGATATCTTTACAAAATTTGATGGTCAACTTTGGTTGTATTTTCCTTTGCCAGATCTGTTAGGAGTCAATTTAAAGTATATTTATATCTTTAAAATAATCTCAATAAGCAGGATAATGATTAAAAAAAAGTATAAAAATCCCCTCTATCCACTTTTTAAAATTATTTAACAGCTGGTCCTCATGAAACATTATTTCCAGATGTGATTAAAAATATATTTTTAATGTAAATTACTATATATAACATTATGCTTTTGTCAGTATAAATGTGTATAAAATTCATGAATAAATTTATATATATATATATATGCTAGCAGATTTTTTTTTTCTACCACCTTAAAGCTTTTGCTGTCTGTTTTATTTTTTTAAAAAAAGGAAACAATTTTAAAAATTGATACTTTAGATCAGGCCTGCACAACATACGGCCGCAGGCCGCATGTGGCCCACCACCACCCACTTTGTGGCCCGCGAGGTAAAGAAAAACTCTTTATTCTTATTTTCTTAATAGCTCTCCCCCTGACCTATATTCTTTAGGGCCGCACAAGTTTATCATAATGTATTACGGCCCGCCTTACATTTTGAGTTGTGCAGGCCTGGTTTAGAAAGTTAGGGAGGTGTTTGAAATTTTATCAAATTGATAATGAAAATGAAAGCATTGCTGACTACATGTGCTTAGCAATGGAACATGTGATGCTACTCATTTATATTAGTGCCAGAAGCACACTAAGTACTTAATTTACATATTTGAAAATTGTATAAAATAGGATTTACTGTACCAGTCTTAATTGTTCAGTTGAAACTTTAAAGACAAAGAAATAAAATATGTCACCAAGCAGCTTAAAATCTAGAAATTAAAGTTCCATAATTTCCCCTCGTAGGATGAGCTACCAAGTTTGAACATATAAAGGTGTATAAGTTACATTTATTAACAAATATTAATTTCACAATCCCTTTGAGATTTAAAGTAAAGTACCGGTACATCAAAATAAATAATAACCTTATTTAATCTAAAATGGTTTTGCAGTTGTTAGAAACAATTTTTATTGATGTGATCTATAATAATGCCCAGATGTTTAATGTAGCTTGTTATTAAAATATCATAAAACAAAATCAATGTGTTGTGTTTTCTTTATTAACAATAATCAACTGATAAACAAGAAGGCAAATAAAGAAATGTAATAAAACATTGACGAAAAATATAATTTTCGTTATTTTCTAACAGCAGCATCTTAAATTTTTCAAAAGTTATTTCTTAACAATAACAAGGCCATACAAAAAAAAAATGCAGAAAAAGTAACAAATCCAATATATTATGAAGTTTTACAACAATTTGCACAATCAAATTAAAGCAAAAGATGAGCTATCTAGATAAGTGCTCTTCAAACAATTTCACTTATGGCACACCTAGACCATGCCCAGATATCAGGGGTACACCACAATGAAAACATGGAGAGAAAAAAAACCATGTTGAATGTTGTTTACCAACAGACATGTTTTTAAAATTTATTTCTCCAACTAACATGAGCCAATAGACCTTAAAATCCAAAAGATGTAACATAAAATAGTTATTACTGTTTAGGCTCCAATGAAATGTACAGAAATATAGGAAAAATATTTTAAAATTAAAAGATATACAGTAATTAACTAGACATTTGAGCCTGTTAAACTAAACATAGTTTTCAATATTTGGCTTGATATATGATAGAGAAACTCGAAGTTCACAATCAAATTCTTTCAAGCATGACTGCCTTTTTTCTTCTTAAGTGCTATTAATCTTGAAACTTAAATTCTCAAGCCCCTTCAGAAATGTCGAGAAACAATCTCAATTTTTGCCTTTGCTTATTAAGATTTTGACTTAAAATTATGACTCCTCACCACACCACAAAAATCCCCATTGAATGTATTCATCTTTGTTCTGCATTTTCACGATATTTTTTTTTTTTTTTTTTTTTTTTTTTTTTTTTTTTTTTTAAAATTTTTTTTTTTTTTTTTTTTTTTTTTTTTTTTTTTTTTTTTTTTTTTTTTTTTTTTTTTTTTTTTTTTTGTTTTTACAAAAAAGCTTGTATTATATACATGTTTAAAGTGATAATTGTTTGATTAATTAAAACACTTTTATGTATACCAATTTAACACAGAACCATTCAATCACCCAATTAAACTATTTTTTGATACAAATAAAAAATCAGAGACCACTAACTTACTATGACATTGAAGTGTAAAGTTAACATATTTATTTCAATGCCAAAAACATAAGCCAAAAATAATAAAACAAAAGCAATATTTTAAAAAATGTATGTGGCAAGATAAACATGTTCTTGACTGTGTCAACAAATCAGATGAAAGATCTCCCTCAGTCTGAAAAGGATTAAGCTTAGTTTGTGTTGAGTTCAGTTGGGTGACGAAATGTTAACTCAGTAGTGCAAAACAAAATAACAAAAAAAAAAAAAGCAATCAACACCTTGTTGAAGTTTAACATAGTCACTCATAGTGGCATGAAAAAGCATGTCATCAAAAGACAAAGCCTCCTACAAATATTTTAATCTCTCTTACTTCAGACACCTGGACATGGTGACTTTTCATAATTTAAATGTGCAGATGTGCTGTGCTATTTGACAGCTTGTTAATTATTAACCAATCATTGTCCCCTTTTTCAAGAAATTTACATCATATCACGTTTTTCGTCCCGTTGGAGGAATTTCACGGTGTCACACCTACCATTTTCTTGTGGTAAATCATTTGCGTAGCTCTGATGTAGAGTGTGGGGCATTGTTTTTCAAAAGACTTGCCGTGTTGAAATTGACAGATGAATTTTCCATCCACTGGCACATAGGCAAACAGAACTTATATGTTAAATTTCTACCTGAGCACTGACCTGTTTCTAAAGTAAATGTTCACCTATTTCTCAAATTATTTTAAAAGTGATGTACTTTAGGATAAAGAATTTTTTTTAAAAATTAACCAGCAGATAAGATAATCAATACACTTTTCTCCACTTATTTCCCTTCCCCGTTATAACTGAATTGTAAAAAAGTTCTTAAGGCATTAGAAATCAATAAATAAGCTGGAAGTCCAAATGTATGTACTGTACTTTCAACATTTGGAATACACGACTTCAACACCATAGTGCATTTTGGTTGTGGTTTAGATTGTTGAATACATTTTGATTCCCCCACTATCCTCCTATCCTTGGTCATTTGCTTTCTCGTCTGCTTTGCTGCTCTCTCGTATACTTTTGAACACGCCAGCAATCTCTGGGTTTTCTTCAGCAAACTTCTCAGGTGTGTTTTGCTGTAACCAGTTGGTGCTGTTGATTTGTTGACTCAAGGTGGATAATAGATCCTCTAAGGTTTCCTTTTCTAAAATATATACCAAGGCCATTTGTCATTACTGGAACTAATATGTAATATACTGCATTTATTAGTTTGAAATATAGTTTACAACTGGGCCAGCTTTGAAGGCAACAGGGATGGTATTTTAAAGTTAAGCCTAATAAATAGTTTTACAGCTACAACAATAAAAGAATTTATAAAATGCCTCAAGGGTAAAAATCTTGGAGGAGTTATTCTCTATGGTAGGTTAGCAAATGACTTACTTATAGTCCCCTGATTAATTATGATATTAAATATAAATGTTCCTCAACTTCCTAAATATAGCTATTGTTGAATTTCTTGCAATAGGAAGTACATTAAATAAAAATGTGATTTAGAAATTTATGAAAAGAATTAACTACCGTATTTATTTACGTATAACACGCACCTCAATTTAAGAAGGAAATTTCAGGGGAAAAAACTAAACATTATATCGGCGTATAACACACACACATCATTTGCCCTCCATTTTCAGGGAGAAAAAGTGTGTGTTATACGTCAATAAATATAGTAATTAACTTTTAAACTAATTCAACAAACAAACACAGCAAAAAATGTATTAGCAATGTTAATAAATAGTAAAATTTCTTCCTGTGCATAGAAACCTAATTTATTGTAAAGGTTACTTACTTTGTGCATTAGGAACTGTGACTTTATCAGTTTCTATTGTCTCAGTGTTATCAAGTTGGCTTTCTGGACTTCTTTCTGCCATATTGTGTTATCCTATTGATCAAAAATTATAATTATTACAAAGTACAATTTCATGTTGATATTGTGCTTGAAATGACTGAAATGCAGTGGCGTAGCTAGGGAGGTGCGGTCTGCACCCCCCTCCCATCTGACCCCGACAAAAAATTGAAAAATTACATATTTACACAGCACAAACTGCTCTGTCTAACCCATTTTCATAAAAAGATAACTGATCACACATCAATTTTCCAAACATGTAACCAATCCCAATGCACGCTTTATTAAAAGTTAAATGTTGATGCATCAGAAATGAGGTGACCTTATAATTAGGTAAGAAAACACCGTTTAATAATGAATTTTTACCCATATTTTACATCATTTTGTAATTTAAAAAAAAATTTTTTTAAAATTTATTTACATTTGAAAAAAATAGTTTTTTGAAATCAAATATATTGAAACCCAGAAATGCTCAAAATTGATATTTTCGCAGATTCCTCACTAGCACGGCCCCTTAACATTTGAGCATGAATGTCAAAGTTCAACTGTTCTGTTTTACCTGCCACTTTTTTATGTGTTGTATTTTTTATAGTGCTCTGTTGTTTTTTAACTGTCCTAACACAACGCAATTAAAAAATTTTTTATTGTTAAAGATTATTCTATCATGCAAAACAGAGTGCACAAATCTAGTCAGCCGGCAGCAGCGAAAAGCAAAAAAGAAAAGATGTGACTCACTAAAATCACTACCAGGATCAATGCTTTGATATGACAAGAAACCAAATGACCAGGGTTCACCAAAAGACTTTCGCCAAACTACCATTGATACTAATTCATCTGATACCAACAGCATGCATTCTATAGAACAGCAAAAAGTTCAGAAAATGGAAGAGTTTGGCGTGAAAATAAAAGTAAAGACGTGGATGGTTTGGAAACTGAAATGGTTGCCGATAATATTGATTCCATCCAAGATACTGTAACTGTGATGGTTAAAAAGAAAAACTTGAAATTTTATCAGATGCTTCTCTCTGGAATGTACCAGTAGTACCAGTTCCCATCATTTTCAGACTAAAATTATTAAAATACAAATTACCTCGTTTCAGAACAAGGACGGAACATTCAGCGTAAGGAATAGGCAAGAAATCTAAATTAGGTGTGCACCGCTGGTTCTACAGTCTACAGGATGCTGCCAAATGGCGAGAAAATATTGCAGATTTGGATGGTTTATTTACTCATCAGTAAGATATTGTCCAGTTTTTGCTGCAGATTGTTAATGTTACAGAAACAACATCCAAATAGTTAATGGGTTTGTGGTGGAAACTGAGCTCAAAATTACAAAATCATGGGGAATCGGAAGAGCACCTTATATATTGACATTATTATTATATTGCCTTGAAAAATGTAAAACATAGGCAGCAGGACTTGACTTAGGCTAACCGCTAAATTAACAAAAGACTGCTGAGTATCATTAATACTCGGGCATAAATAAATAAAGCAACTTAAGTTTACTACGCTTTAAAGTTTATTTCATCACCTGCTCAGTCACGTAACTGTAGGTTACAGTAGGCTCACTGCAGTTGCACGGGCAAAACTGATTTTTTTTTTATACCGGCAAATACTTTATTTTGTTTTGTTTCATTAGAAAAAAACCACAACCAATCAGCCTTGCCCTTGGTTACGGGAAGTGAAAATTGAAAAACGGGAGTAGTCATTTTAAAACTGCATTGTTACAAAATTATTAGTGATATCATGTGGTAGATGGGTTAAACTTAGAATTTAATTTAAATATTAAGTTAATCACCAAATAGATATTTAATTAACAGATGTTTATAATCATCAGTGACTTCACTTTTCACATATTATGACATATTTTAAATAGATGTCTGAATCTGAATATTTTGTAAATGGTTAAGTAAACATTTCCATTGATAAATTCTATATCATATATCTATTTAACCTCTCCCCCTAAAAAAATTATTCATAATCCTATTAGAATTTCATTTAAAACTATGCAAGTTGGTCGTCTTCTAAAGTTTTATATACAAATATTACATCAGCAAGTGCATAGGGCCTGTGGCGCAACGGATAACGCGTCTGACTACGGATCAGAAGATTCCAGGTTCGAATCCTGGCAGGCTCGTATATGTTTTTTTCCTTCAGTAGATTTTTTCAATTGTCATTAAATACTGTTTGCGTTTAATCATAATAAACTTATTGTTTGTAGCATTTAAGAAGTATTTATGTACAACATGTACATAATTTTATATAAAATAGATATTTTATCAACCAACTAGTGTGATGTACTACAATTTTTCCATTTGCAGGGAAAAAAGTCACAGAAAAACTGTATAAACTGTAATTTTATTTGTAAGTTCAAAAAATGTTTATGATTCAATAAATATCAGTCTATGAAACCAAAAGGCACAGGAAGAAAAGAAAAGAGATAAGAAGAAAATAACATAGTATGAAAAACAGACGCATTTACACTATTATATTTTCATAAGTGAGCATCATAGAAATAAGTTACTAGATTATTCTGAAAGTAAAACATGGTAAAAAATTATTTTGAATTCTTTTAATGAGAAAAGTCAGAGCCGCACAACTTAATGTTCTGACAAGATTGGGGAACAAATGAATCTGTGAATCTTTCGATCGATTGACACATTGACAAGACAACACTGAGGCCATTGATGCTTGTATGAATAGATGCTTGTATGAATAGATGCTTGTATGAATAGATGCTTGTATGAATAGATGCTTGTATGAATAGATGCTTGTATGAATAGATGCTTGTATGAATATATGCTTGTATGAATAGTGTTATCACAAAACGACTACCACAATGCCTCTTGATTCTTTTATTATGTGAGACTTGTCAGGGCGATCATATTTCATTCCAAGCGAGAATCAAACCACGTTCCTCATGGGCGTCTCTTACTGATATTTAATCTATAACAAACCAACAAAAATGGTCTTACGAATACAATTACGGTTATTAATAAATATATGTTTTTCTGTGACTTTTTTTTCTTCTGTCTGTCAACATCACACCTGGTTACACAAAGCGCTAACAAAATTATTTTAAGAAACCCCATAAAACAACAACAAGATCTAGGATACTAAGGGTGCGACTGCACATGGGTTAAAATACTATCCAACAAATCCAACAGTACACTATCAGAAGGAATAGAGATAAAGAGATCCGTCAGACAAGGATGACCCCCTTTTCAACATACTCGTAGGCCTACATCTTGGCTATAGAGCCAGTGTTAGAGAAAATTAGGAAATGTACGAAAATACAATGGAATAAGCATGCCCCAACGGAGGAGAAAGAAACAAGCTATTTAACGTTGACGATACCACCCCCTCAGAGGAGAAAGAAACATGTTAGTAAACGTTGACGATACCATCCCCTCAGAGGAGAAAGAAACATGCTATTTAACGTTGACGATACCACCCCCTCAGAGGAGAAAAAAACATGCTATTTAACGTTGACGATACCACCCCCTCAGAGGAGAAAAAAACATGCTATTTAACGTTGACGATACCACCCCCTCAGAGGAGAAAAAAAAACATGCTATTTAACGTTGACGATACCACCCCCTCAGAGGAGAAAGAAACATGCTTAGTTAACGCTGACGATACCACCCCCTCAGAGGAGAAACAAACATGCTAGAGGCCTTCCATAAAGTACGTCATGCTCCAGAGGGGGGGGGGGAAGGGGATGTAAAGAAAGCGTGACAGTTTGTGTCAGGCGGAGGGGGGGGGGGCGGGGCCGTGGGTGCGGTGGCCAATTAATTTTTAAAATTTTTTTTTTATTTTTTTTTTTTTTTTTTTTTTTTTTTTTTTTTTTATTCATTTA